TCGCCAAGGGAAAAGAGCCTACTCGGGTCTTGAAAGCGGCAATGGCCATCGTAACGAAAGAAGAAAAACTTCGTTTCGTAGGCCCCCATGTTGCTAGGGTAGCTGTGTATCCCCCGGCTATAGTAGGTCGCTTGGACAAGTAATAAGAATCTTGTCCTTGCTCTTTTTAAGAAATACAAGCAGTGGAGCTCCGCGCGGTTAGCTCGCTCAGCCGTTCTCACGACACGCGATGAACATGGAACAGCAATAACATATGCGGTGGAGTGAGCTGTATTGGGTTATCCCGAAGTGATCCAAGATCGACCTGAACAAAAGGGTGGAAGGGGATCAATCCCCCACCCTTGATGATCTCCCGGAGATCGTGGCCACCCCACTTGATGGGGATCGCAATGAGTGGGCCACACGTGGAAAACTCCAGTCGATACCATATTGTTTTATCACTCTCCGAGCTCTTCCCCGGTAAGTATCGAGTAGACAAAGAAGTGACACTCGAAGCCCTGCGAGGACGAACGGTCTTCCTCAGATTTGGTCATTGAGGGATCCATTCTACTGGTTCAAAAGTGACAAGCAGGGGGGTCATTTAGCCATCGTACGCTACTTCGTACGATGACGTGGAAGGAAGCAAACCCCAAAAACCTAGAGAAAACCCTAACAGCATGATCGAGTCGCCATTCATGGCTCAAACTCGACGTGGGTGTCTCGTCTGATGAGCACCGGATGATTAACGACTTTATCGACCACAGGAATAAGAAATAAAAGCAGAAAAAGATTCTTACCCCTCGGAGTACGAAAATGGCTTCTGTCGAATATCGAAAAAACGCTGGTTTGGAAGGCAAAGACTCCAAGCTTGCGAAAATCTCCTGCTCTCTGTGAAAAAGATAAGTGTGTGGACATTGCCTGAGAAAGATATGAGTTTATAGCACGTAAAACGAACTACATTTAGGAGGCAAAAATTTCCACGTTGATCACAGCCATGTGTCGCAGATCAGTGAGGAAGAGTGAGCGTCACGATTGAAGAAAATCAAACCTTATCTTTTTTTCTGTTGAAAAACTCAAGCGACGGCACTCTCTCTCTTCAGCATTAATTGCGCCCCAATCTGCATTTAATGCTCTAATAAGGGGTGTCATTTCAGCATGTCACGCATTAATGTTGATAAAGGGTACCATGTCAGCCTACAACGTATTTAATGTGCCTGGTTGGCACTTATCACGACAATGATACGTTGTTAGAACAGGGGCTGCTTCATTAAATGCATCCATACCAAAAGCACAACAGGTAACGCCTGACGAAGTCAGGTCACTCATCCTTAGCAAGCAATGACCATGCAAGTCGCTGCTACGCAGAGTGCTATCCCAACCTATTTTCAAGCAGGTCGGAATCACCAGAATTTCCCGCAAGCATCCAATCGCGGCATGACTTATAGTTTCCAAGGTTCGTCTTAAACCTTAAAAACTAGGGGATTTCTGTGCCTAAAACATATAAGGGCTAACGTAAGGCCTAGTCAGCGTGCAAAAGTCAGAAAATGGGTACACCCGCCAGCTGCTTCTGTCAAAATGAGAGTGTGCGCCAGACCAGCCAGAAGTGTGGTGATCCCACGTGTCCAATCCTTGTGCCAAATCGCGCAATCATAGAAGGTGGGTAATGTGACATAAAGAAGGATTTGCACCATAATCCCACCAACTCACAGATTCAGTAATCATGCTCAAGTATCCACTATAAATAGAGAGTTCCTCCCATTTGTGGGATTCACTCATTTACTCTTGATTAGCTACTCTCTCTCTATAATTGATAGCATTCACTCGCTGTTACTATCATATGTAAGTCAGTCAGCTAATGCGACTTGACCTCTATCATTAATAAAATAACAGTAGACGTAGGACTTGCTACTTTAGCATCCGAACCACTTTAAAAGGTCTCCCATTTGTTTTTACTCTCATTTTTCTTGCATCACGTGTGTCTTCTAAGCCAGTCAGCATTGCACATGTGCGTTTAGTTGGTGAACAATCACGCATCAACACTGTAATATTTTGAATTCTTTTTTAACTTTGATATATTTAATTATTACTATATATATATATATAATATATATTATATATATAATATATATATATATATATATATATATATATATATATATATTATATATATATATATTAGTTTTGCATTTTTTTAATTTTTTAATATTTACAAAAAATTATAGTGATTAATTTTTTTCTCAAAAGGTTTGCCTTTTGTTTTTCATATAAAATGACGATTTTGTCTTTAAGTTAATCAATTTAACAGCCAAAATAGGTGACAAGAGTTTATGGTAGTTTCTGATAATTGAGGGATAAGTTTAGTATTATGAATTTTAGAGGGTCTAATTTTATTAACCCAAAAAGAATTCATAAAATTAAATTAAATTAAATGCATGTAACAACAAAATCATAATAAATTAGTAATTGTCCACATTGATAATGCCACACATAAACCTAATTCATTTAGTCTTGACTTTTCATAAAAAATTAACCATTATTATTTCTTCTTTGGTTCTACCAAATAAAACATAAGCACACAAAATATTATATATTATCTTTACTTTTATATTAATTATTATCAAACGACAATAAAATCTTTGAAGATTCAAAACTACTGGCTGTCTTCTCACATAGTGTTTTCAAATGGTTTCTGCTAGCACTTTCACAGTTTCACTTTCTTGATGGTGACACGAGAAGCTAAGAGTAGTTTTTTTTTTTACGATTTTTGTGCATTCATTTTTGTTTTTCTGAAAAATATGAAAATAATTAGAGTAGACGAAAAACAAAAATATGTTCAACATGTTTGTCTGAAAACTTATTTGAAAACACTAAAGATGAAAACATATCCCTTATGTTAATATGAAAACACTAAAAAAATAATAAATGAAATGTATGAAATTAAACATTGGACAAACAATAAACCTTTACAATTACCATTATTTATTCATCTTGAAAAACTTGTCTCGAACATATCACCTTGATTTTCTTACAACTTGTATTAAAAATCTTGACTTAAAATAAAAATATTTGTTTCAAGAAAGAGAAAAAAAAATATAAGAATGAAAAGAGAAGATATAATTATTTATTCAAAATATTTATATTTTATATTAACAGTAGGGTCATTACCTTGTTTGTTGCCAACCGTTTTCATATTTTAGATTAAATTTATAAAAAAAAAATGCTAAACAACTTTTATCTCAACCATTACAATGAAGAAAAATAAAAAGAAATGTAAAATTTGTTACGGGGTCGTTGGTTTATGGATTGAACTTTCCCTTCTCAATTTCATTGCATTGTAAGTTGAAACTTGCAAAAAAACACGTTCGTTAAGCATTTTGGAGTGGTTTAACGGACATGAAAAAAATGGTTGGAGAGAAAAAAGGGTGGATTATTTTTAACTTTTTATATTTTCTCCTCTTTCCTAAAGGGGAATTAACAGTTGACATATTTTTGAGACAAACTCTTTAAATCAAAATTTTTAATGCAAAATTGCAAAATTACAAATGAGAATTAACAGTTGACATATTTGAGACAAACTCTTTAAGACAAACGAAATAAACGATACTTTGAAATAGTTTTGTCGATAGTGTAGATAATAAATTTCGTATTTTTCATTTCTTTGTTTACGTTTTCAAACAAATATGTGGAATACATTTTATTTTTCACGTTTTGAAATACTGTTCTCAAACAAAGATACTGAAGTCTTTTTCATTTTTTGTATTTTCTCATCATCTTCAGTATTCTAAAAAAACTGAAAAAAAAAAAATATAAAATTCATAAAAAAACACACCCTAAACATACAGGGCCTAAATTTACTAACTCAACATCAACTTCATACTCTATCGTTGATCTTATAACAGTTGTAGTTGAATCTTTCTCAATAATTTCCAAACGAGTTCTATAAAGATTGAATCCAGTTGCTATAAACCCTCCAATCGTTTCTGCTTTAAATTTAGTGAGGTATAAAAAATAAAGAAGCCCTTAATCTGCAGGCCTTTCACTGTTATTTGTCTTGTTCCCTTGATAAGATGTCATCTACTCCTTGGACAAAGGTGCTTCAAATTATGAAGTCTACCATGAATCGTGAATTTTTATTTTTTTTATTTTTTTTAATATTGTTGGAATTTGGGTTTAAACCCGGTTAAAAGGAAAAAATTAACAAAGAAAAGCCACACAGCCAAGAGAAACTCGGAGAATGTGTGACTATGATATCGTTATCAGAGGCATTTCATGCTATACATACAATATTTGTATTTGTATATAAAACATTTTATACAAAGTGATAGTAATATTACTATTCTACTAACACATCAATCTATCTAATTAGTTATACATTTATTAAGTTTACCTTTATATTAATTCGTTCATTTATTTTGTACACGTTAGTTCGTATGGATGACTTTGTATGAGATTTTAATACGTGTAATATTATTCAAAAGGAGTGATAGATGTAATTGGACACTTTTTTTGGGCAAAAAGAATTAAAGAATATAATTCTCTTTTGTTGTATTTTCTCAATTATTCTCACTTTATCTTTAAGCCTAACATGGCAGTTCATCTAAAATCTAGAAAACCTAATAGAAGATCTTCTAATCTTCAAATATATTTAAGATAATTTCCCATCGAATTAAAAATGCTATTAGCTCCAATTCTTTATTTTTAATTATTATACTTAATTACTTAAACGACTGTGAATTTCATTAAACAATTGTCAAAAAATCCACCCATATCAAAATCGAATCTCTTACCTCGATCATATTTATTCAATCTAATTGCATAATTACCAAACAACAATTTCACAAAATCACAAAATGTAATTAAACTAAATTCACGTATTAAATTGATAACCCCAAAATCAACCACTATTATTTCTTCTTTGGTTCTACCAATTATTAAACATCAAGTAAAAATATAAAAGTTATGTATTATCTTTTATGTTTATTTTAATTTTATAATCAAACCAATATATTATCAAACCGACAGTAAAATCCTTTTGAAGATTCTAACCCGTAGCTTTCTTCTCACACAGTTGCTTTCCAATGGCTTCTGCTAGTATTTCCACTTGCTTGGTGGTGACATGAGAAGCTAAATTTGCTAATTCATCGTCAACTTCATACTCTATCGTTGATCTTATAACACTTGTTGCAGAATCTTTCTCAATAATTTCAAAACGAGCTCGGTAAACATTGAACCCCAGTGCTTTAAACCCTCCTTCAATGGTTTCTGCCTCCTTCACACGCTTCTCTTCATCAATCTTTGTGAATATTTCTTTCATATAACCTGTTCCAGGGGTTCCTAAAAACCAGGATTGATATTAAGTAGTTTTAAAAATTTCAGAAAAAATTGTGCATATATATCCTCTTTTCAAAGATTATAGGGTTTGACGGAAGCTCCTCGAAGCCGGGCTTGCGAAGCTAGTGTTGAGGGATTTATGTGTGTCTATATATAGAAATCCCCAACACTCGCTTCGCAAAACCGGCTTCAAAACTGGAGCCCTGACTGAGCCCCACAATTTTTAAGAAACAAGAAAATGCAGATGTCGATGAGAGAGCTTGAACCTCAAATCTTAAATCTTGTGTGTGTATATATATATTAATATTACCTGGTGGAAATGTGACCTTTAGAATTGTACCAACACTTCCATCACCTTCGATGACTTCTACTTTTCCGAGAACATCTGGCAGCAATTGATTCACAAGTCTGCCGAGCTCAAGGCCGCGGTAGACATCCCACACCGCACTAGCTGCTGCGGCTACCACCGTATCCTGTGAAAGCTGACCGTGCATTTTGAGAAGATTTGATTTTTTGATGGAGTTGTTCTTTATGGTATTTATAATGGTTGCTTTAGTAATTGGTCTGAATAGAAAATTGATTTTAAATCTGGAGAGATCCACGAGGCAGAGATGAGTTTGACTTTTTGAGGGCCAAAATATTAAACCAAATTTCACTTTCAGAGAATATAGATTGATATTTGATGGCAATATTTTAATTGATCACAAAATTATTATAAATTTTTATTAAACAAATTGATAAATATTTGATAAATTAAACAAATTTAATGTGCTTAAGAAGTACTTGTGTTCGTATTACTTCCATAAATGAAACAAATTTTTATTTTAAGTGAGAAAAAAAATAAAAATAAAATATATATTTTTTTTATTATAGGATTGACCCATCTTCTCTCATAGCACACCCTTTTGGGCTTTCCTCTCTATTTTTCTGATTGAATTCTACAATCAAGGTTAGGGAGCGCAAACTTCCCAATTTCCTATGTGGAGAAAATGAAAACAAAATACAAAAAAGGGTAAACGAACAGACGTTTCTACTTTCTAGTTTCAGTCAAAGATTTTGTTTGTTTTATTAAATTAGCTCTAAAGATATTTTAGAAATATTTTTGTTGACATGTGTACTGTCTTCAAGGCTTAATATCATTGGTCCCCCTATGAGATATGCAAGCCCTAGCGGCACAATTGTTCTAAAAAATCAATAAAAAAAACCTATGCCACCAAGACGTCGTTCGCTGACGTCAAATCATAAAGTATTAAATGACCCTTTCGCCCTTTAAGCGTTTTAGAAATTTAAATCAAATTCAAATTTATTGGATAATATCCGTTCAGCCCCTTAAAATCCCTTGCATGTTTGAAAACCGGTAAACAGACCCCTACAATATGGAATTCTTCCTCTTATTTGGAAAAACCAGTTTTTTTTTTTTCTTTCCCTATAGTTTCTCTCAATTTATTAGTAAACATATCTCTCACAACCCTAATTTTTTTTTAAAATATCCAAAAATCCATCTCTCTCAATATCAAGAAACTCAATTGCAATCCCCAATTATTGTAACACCAAAATGGTACAAACTACAACATGATTGACTTTCAAATAAAACTTACTTTATTTTTCTTTTTATTATTGTCGTAAACCTTCAGAAATCCGAATCTATACGTATCAATGTAATGTACTATGAAATATGTTGATGCTTGATTTTGACACCAACAACCTCGCATGTGCAAAGTGCTAAGCAAACCTTAGAAATTACACGTGATAAAGTTACAAACACGATTGAATGCAAAGACCTAATAATAAATGAGACAATGAGAATTTTATAGTGGTTTGGATGGTTAAAGTGGTTCCTACATCGACTATTTCTTTTATATAATGTGTTGCAAAAGGTCGCGTATAATGAACAACGAGCAGAGATACAATGACTAAGTATTCAGAGAGAATATTAGGCCAATCTCTTTCTTGTAGATTGTCTTTGCTATTGATTGTTATGAAAATCAGAGATCCCGAATTTGAGAGGAGGAGTCCTCTATTTATAGCTACTGAATTCAAGATAGTGATTACAATTTTGCAAGCAGGTAGGTGCCATGCAAGTCCTTCCTTGCCTCCCATTGGTTGATAACTTAGGAAATATCCTCAAATTATCTGGGGCTTGGACATTTGTGCGGTCCTCATTCACTCATAGACAAAACCTGAATTTGCTGGAGTGGTGATAGCCGTATCCTCTCTGTCTTGGGGCGACATGGCAGATCTTGGATGGCGTAAAGCCTTCCTAAACTCTGATTGGTACTCGTTGATGTAAGCTTACGTCAACCCTAGTTTTTTAGGCATAATAGAAGCTCCCTAGTTCTTGAGATTCAAGGAATTGGATCTTGAGAACTTCATGATTATGTTGCGACCTGACTTGTCTTCATAAATATTTGCTTGAGCTGAAAGTTGAGAATAGTCACATTGTTGCAGACGACCTAAAGTTGACTGCTTAGTCTGACCAGCGAATTGAGTGTAGGTTGTAATCTAGACTTCGAGAGTAACACAAGCGACTTGATGTGATCATTTACAGAGGTTTGCTGACCTGAGCTTGATCTTGTCGTGTGCTATTAGCATGTATTTTGAACTCTGATTGTCATTCACGACCTGAAAACACTAAGATCATTTTCCATTGAAAATTGTGAATCATCTCATTTGGTGTTCAATTCTGACATGTTGAATAAATGTCTTATTTGAATGAGCTCTTCAGATATTATCTGTTGTGCTTGATAGTTGGCTTCGTCAATAAAATAAACTTTATCTGACAGACATGTCTCTGCGTAATAAGTGTCAGCCATGAGCATTAAATACAAGCCATGTTGAAACGACATTCCCTTTTGAAGCATTAAATGCGGATGAGAGCAAATTTAATATGGAGGAGATAATCACGTCGGCGCTTGGCAATTTTGATAAAGAAATGCATTGGTTGATTTTCACGAAGCGTGGGGGTTACTCTTCACGCGGATTGACGACACATGGTCACAATCAATGACTAGGAGCACAATCCTGCCCAAACACCATTTATAAAAGAGGCCAAGCGTCGTCTTCCACCTTATAAAACCCTAAGCTTACCCTAAGTTTTTAGAGAACTCAGATTTTTCAAAGAGAAAAACTGCGTTTTCAAGCTTCAAAACATAAGTTCATCTTCTTCTAGTTAAGGCAAACTCAACGCTACAATAGAGCACCCGTCCCCAGCAACCAAGAGGTAAAGAAGTTTCTTCCTTTTTCTCCTTTTTCCATTCCTACCAAAAAGCTTACTTTTTATAATCATGGTGGTCATAAGCATCTGGTAGACTTAGATGATGAATATTCCTAGGTAGTGTTTGAAAGAAACACTTTAAGATTTAAAACTTAGGGCAAAAAGCTTTAGAAGATTATTCTTAAGAGTTTTTAGGGTTTTTAGGAGCTTTGCCGGCTATGGAAGAGAAACCAGGGTTCTTTTACTCTTTTGAGTCGTTGTATGAGATAGATTGTATAGGGTTTGAGTCACCCCTACATGTCACACCTTTATAGACACTAAAGGGAATGGAGGTCCCTGAGACAAGAACAGTTGGAGAAGGGAGCTCGTAACCATCGAGCACCTCGATAGGTGCCGAAAAGGTGATATGATCTACTGCCACAACAAACAAGATCCAGAGTATAATCGACCAGTATGCGATCAACGTGGACATGTATCAACAGAGGTTGCACACTGTCAGGATCATCCTGAGGGAATGGCTGCGATCTCGGAAGCCATTTTCAAATATGGAGTAAGGATACTCCTCCACCCCTACATTAGGTCTATCCTCTACCACTTCCAGGTGGCACCATTCCAACTGATGCCAAATGCATATATGATAGTTATCGCTATGTATATAGCATTTGGCGAGCACGACCTTAGGGAGCCAACAGCGGAAGAGCTCGTTTGCGCCTATATCCTAAAGAAGAGTAAAGATAACGATTTGCACTACCCCTCCAAGCAATCAACGATCGAGGGAGGGATACTTAGCTACCCCAGTAATATGGGGGCTTATGAAACCAAATATTTTTTCTTCAAGTATGACGATGTCTGTAAATTTAAGGAAGTGAGTAAGTTTTCCTTTCAATTTTGAAGTCGTTCGCCCTTTAACCTTAGTTCGTTTTTATACAATAAGCTAATGAACTATTTGTCTCTTTGTAGAAAACAAAATGACCAGGTTATCGGTGTTAGCTGATCACAACCGCATTGAAGCATTCGGTCGACTTCCTGAGAAGTCATGACGCAAAGCTGCTTGTTGTTAGAGTAGATGCCTTAGAACCAATCAATTATTGTAGAATTGACTCTTTGTAATCATGTTCATTAATCAATAAAAGGAATTTTATTTTATATCGCGTAAATCATTATTATTGCAACATGTATTGATATATGTCCTTAAAATGGTAGAACCGTGACGAAGGTATCAACTGTTTCAAATCTTGATAGTGAGAACCCTATGAGCATATATGGTGGCCATTCTAGAAATGTTCGTAGCCCCAGTATTATTCTGAAGTAAGGGCACAGATAATACGGTAAGGCTATCATAGTGTTGAACGACCCTGTCGAAAGGCAGTGACTGATCTCACTTGTCAAGGTTGTTTGGTGACAACCTAGTGCAACACATGGGTGCTTGTTGTAGGCGAATACACCGCAGCAAGTTCACTGGACTGACCCACTAGAGGATTCCATATGGATGGTAACCCTAGTGTCTATAGAACAAATCCTCCAACGAATGGTGGTGCATGTGATCCTTAGACTTGAGATCACTGGAGCACCTTGTGCACCGATTGGTACAGTTTGACACTAGCCTAACATAGTTCTCTTCAGAGTTGTCAATACGGTGGTGATTGGCTGCATCAAGGAGTGTATCAAGACTATGGTGGATTGATAGAGGATTCATCACTCCCAGGTACGGGAGAAGTTATCTCACGGCGTAATTCAGTATATGGTAATGACACTAAAACTGTGGCCACAGTGGGATTGAGTTGTTGCTCTATCCGGTTTATAATACAAGTCATTGGTCAAGAAACTGAATACATAATATTGAGAGTAACCGAAGGTTGACACTATTTCTATGCCTTTGTCTTGTCGAGATAACAGATGATGAAAGGATCGAATTGTACGGTAACCATATCGTTGACAGGTAGCTACTTTGCTGAATCTAAATCTATCAGCTGGCCATAATGCCTTGCTAGGGGCCAATCTTGGTTTGTGTATTAGTGAGACGATTAATTGATGTTAATTGTGATACTATACACTGCTGGTATGATGAGGAGCCTATGGGTCACAACGTAGAAGATAATTTAAGAGCCAGGAAGAAAGAAGGACGTTTTCATCTTTTTGGGCGAAAGGGTATTTTGGTAATTTCATAGTGCAATTAAATTTGCTGAGGTCGTAGCCTTTATTTAATTTATTAGAAAAATTAAATAAGTGAAATTACGTTTAATTATGTGTTCGCATATATTTAAATAAATTATCATTATT